TAAATAAAAGATGTCTTAAAATCTATGTTGCTACTTATTGATTCTTCCTGCTGTGTCCTCTTCTGTAGATCAGCTGCCTTTAAACACGAGCGTGGCTTTCGGTTGGACCAGCCAGGCTTCTGGGCCTGTGCAGAGGTACCGTCAGTCGTGCTCTCAGGGATGAACCTGGCAAAGGATAGGGAAGGAATTTAAAAATCTCCACCGGATAAAATAGTGAGTTGCAGCAGTGCTGCTCCCTCAGAAGAGATGTATTTGCTGCCTTCCGGAGGTGAGCAGAGGAGTGATCTGCAAACACGGTGATGTTGAGGACATCTTGTAATCCTGTGTTTCCTTTGTAAATTTTTGTCCTTGCTTTCATTTCCTGTTTGTCTTCTCCTTTTTATTATTCTTATATTATTTATATATTTTTCATATTATTTATATATATATTTATTATTCTATTATTTTCATAAGTATGTACTTAGGCCTAAGTTTTGTTTGCTGTCAGCCTGAAGTGAAATGAGAAAAGAAAATACAGGTATGTGTTTTGGACAGTTTGTGTGATTTGTGGTGCAAGAAATTTGAAATACAAAGTTCATTTTGCTACAAGGAAGACATCTTCCCCTTCCTCCCCCTTGTCGTAGTTCCAGAGGAAAAAAGAGGTGGGAAAGGATCTTCCCAACATAGAAACAAATGAAGATTCTAACATCATCTATCACTGCTCTGGTTCTGGACAGATGGCGTACTTTAGATACTGTTATATATATATATCTAAGTTGTCACTGTGAGTGCTTAAATTGGTTCGAGGGGTTGTTCTGTGTTTTCTCAAGACAGACCGAAATCTCAGCCTATTTTGCAAATATATTTTAACTGACTTGTGTTGTCAATCATTTCGTGTTTCCTTAGAAAGGCCAAGTGCTCTGGTCATTGGCTGCTAGAAACTCTTCCTGATGAGTGCCTCCAATTAACTTACATTCGTTATCCAGATGTCAGTAACCCAAGCAATCCAGAGAGGCTGGAATTTCTAGAATGAAGTGCTGCTCTTGATGTCCCTGTCTTGTGTGCATTACACTGAATATTCAGGGCAGTGATTCTGCCAGGCAGCATTCACTACTGAAGACAGACAGGTTATTTTATGATAGCTTAGTGCTTTTATTTCCTCTGTAATCTGTCCCAGAACTAATTAAGGCAGCTTTGCTTCAAGATTAATTTACATCCTAACGATCCATCGTAATAATCCAGAGTATCAATTTGGAGAACTTTAATTTTCTAAACTCTAAAGAAACAGCTTGAAACTTGATGGGCCCAACTGCTTGATGTAAAATGCTTTATTTTAAAGCTTAAATGCATTCTTGCCTTCCAATGGCTTTCTATCTAATGTTTGCCATCATAAAGCAGCCAGGGTCACTTCAGGTTGCCTAGTGAAAGACCTGAGAGCACGTGGCTCTCATTGCAGCTGTAGGCACTGTGCTCCCAGCAGCACAACTGGTATTGCTCAGCTGTCAGCATGGCTGAGAACGTGCTTTCTGAGAAGCTTCCTTTGTTAAGAACTGGAAGTGAAATGGAGCAACCTACTTATGTTTTGAGACACTTGCCCATGCATCCAAATCATAGCCAAATGTTTATTTCCTGCAGGCAACAGGGACAGATCTATCAGCTCACAAGTCAGCTATATGAAAGAGATTTGAGCTGTGTCAGAATGTAAGTGTTAGGTTTAACCTTTCCTAAGCAGTCTAAGATAACAGAAACTATTGAAAAATAGATGATATGTGCTTTGAGAATAAAAGGTGTGCAGTAAGAACATTAATATTCTAATATTTACTCTAATATTCAAATATTTAGTTTAAATACGATTATTTCTATAAGGGAAACAACAAATCAGTTTTGAGATGTGCTGATTTGAAAGAGAAAACAAACAGTGCCTACAGAGATGAGAGCAAATTACTGGATGTAACAAGGCCAGGTGAAAGCAGAAGAAAAAGGTAAATAAAGTGTTCACGGCCAAGCATCAGCATATGCTTCATTACTTACAACTGGTTGTTTGCTCAAATTATTAATAATACTTATTACTCTCTAAATTCATGCACACAATGCATTAAATGTTTCCAGCTAAAGATACTGGCAGTGATTTAATTCCGTGCAGAAAGGTTGTATAGAATTTCCTGTCATTTTTCTCCAAGTTATTTTTTAAGAGCTGCTTCATGAAGAGAAGGCCAAACTGGCCTTCCAGAGAAGACAGCCACCATCCTTTGATGACCTTGGGACCCCCAGAAGTCTTGATAAAAGGACTTTGACCAAAGTACCCTGAGAGCACACTGCTGGGGCTGAAGCTGGCCAAGGTAAAGCCTTCTGCCTTGTTTTGGCATGTCAAACAAATGGTTTTCAGAAGAGAGGTGCCCCTGGGAAACGTAATGACATTACATAATAACTGCTGTTATTCCTTGCCTCGTCCCCCAGTAGCTAAACAAGCAGCATATTTTTACATGGTGTCATATGACAGAAACTGAACAACTGATGGACAAATATTTAAATTGTGTTCTAGGGGAAAATTGCTCAGATTAAGCCAAGTAAACCCGTGTGAATGGTGGCTGGTAGGGGTTGTATGAAAAGTGAAAGAGCATTTAAAAGGGGAGGGGATATAGTAGGAATCAGTGGTAATACGGAATAGAAATTTGTTCAGCCCCTTATAGGAAACTTAGAGTGGTCTAGGAGTGAAATTGTTCTGGAGATTTGGCAAGGTAGAGATAGCTCCTCCCCTAACTGATGAGCTTTAAACATTCTTCTATGCAAAATCATTGAATACTGCCTCAGAAGTTAGTCCTGTTTGTCAGACCAAGTTTGTGTTGTGGTATTTAATATAGATATGGTTTCCATTGCAATCAACCACTGCAGTGTGTTTATATGTTCAGCCTCAAAACTTTGTGAGAGACTTCTTATTTTCATCCTGTGATGAGTTATAAAACAGCTAAGCCTAGATTTTCAAGGTATTTTGGTACCTATCTGGTTCTTCAGGCACCAAGATCTACCTTTTATGTATTTACTGACTCAGCCTCTCAGATATGACTGGAAAGAGATAAATATCTGTGGTTATGCTGCTTCTGTGAAATGTGAGAATTTCTCCACCCCATAATTATCAAACGCAGGGAGCAGACTAACAAAAATGCTGAGAAAAGCTTGCCCTTGAGCTTGCCTGTGGGTCTCGACTTTTGAGGGTGTGATGTCCTGAGATGTAAAAAAAAACCAAACAGCAACAACAAAACAACCAAAAAACACACAGCAGCTGCCTTCAGTGGGCTCTACCTGCCTCAACTACGTGCTGACCAGACCCAAGCAATTAGGGTGAAAGTCATAAGCTAATTAGCCCACTTGAGTAGTTAATTGCAGTGTGCTGCCTTGAGTGAAACAAGTTACAAAATGCTGACTGGTGGGCAGAGATATTTAGTCAGAAGCACGGAGTTGTTAATTAGGCTCTAAAGAACTAAGTGGCAATTAAAAGGTGCCAGGGTGGGCCTGAAGAATAGCTTAAAAACAGGTGGAGGACAGAGAGAATAAACCATGCATTTGTATTATAACTGGGGAAATTCGCTGTTAACGTAAAGCTACAAGAGCACGTCAGGCTGGAGGCCCTTGAGGGCACCTGGAGGCACCTGGCCAAGCTTCCTAGGCAACTCCACTTTCTGTCCCAGTGGCCTGAGAGTCCCCCAGGCCCTGGCTCCCCTCAGCCTGGGCTGTGTTGCAGCTATGCCTGTGGCAGGGCATCTGGGTTGTGCCGTGGCACAGGCAGGGCAGTGCTCTGAGGATCCCTGCTCCATCCAGCGCAGCTTCAGCTGCAGTCCCTAGTTGGAATAAAGACCGATGGGTCTGGTAGCTATTGCTTTTCTTCGTTAAAAAGCACATTAATTAGCAGGTGAACTGTGAATTGCTGGTGGAGACCTCGGGAGGACGATGGCAATTGTGGAGGGTAAGATTCGGTTTAAGATTTCCTAGTTTCTCTGATAAAGGTTATCATGGCAGTTATGAACTGGAATTATTCATTTATTTAAATGTGAACCCACTGTAGTGTAGATCAAAATCTGTCTGGAAAGAATAAGAGCAAAGAAACAAAAGCAGTGGTAGGAAATAAGATTTTGATATCACATTGTGCTAAAATGCTTCTCAGTTGATCAACTTTCATGCAATTTGAAGCATAGATTAAAACGTAGTTATTTTTCTAAAAAAAAAAAAAAAAAAAAAAAAAGCTGCTTGTCAAAGTATGATTGCATCCAGAGTGGTAGCAATTCACTCTTATTTCATACTGCCACCTACTGCACTGGAATTAGAGCAAGAAAAAGCAATTGATGTCTTATCTACCAAAAACTATATTGTATCTACCAAAAACTATATTGGTCTAAAGAGCTTGTGTACTTCTTAATAGTGTTATTTTTGATACCATGTGGTGTCACTTCTTTGATGGCAAATGTTCTCCAGATCTGCAGTTAATTACTGCTCTCTCAACCTGTTTTTCTCTGTCCTACCAAGCACAAGCTAGCTGTCATCCTAAACCTGCCCTCGGCTTTATCCTATGCACTACTAGTCCTAAAATAATAAACTAATTGAAAATTGAATGTTTCACAACTGTTCTGTTAGAAACTAACTTAAGCTGTCACATCCACAGTCTGGTGCTACACTTAAGAAATTATTATTGTTTCTAACAGATTTTTGTGCTTTCACTAAAGTTTCCTAAAGCTCCCTTAGAAGCTCTAATTGTATCTATGTGGCTCTCAGCTGCACTTATGTACTTAAAATTAAGGGTGAAACAAAGCTGTTCTGTATTAGAATTACTGCTTCTCTGCTCCTTGTATCTTGAACCTCATCACTGAACTTCTGGGAATCCTGACATCAGCACTGTTGATTTCGGAGTGTTTTTGAGGTAAATGTCATGCAGCCTGTTTGCCTACAGTGTTTGGGGAGGCTGTTGAAACATTTATCAGTGTTATCAATATCTCCTACCAGAGAAATGACAAAAATCATTAGCAAGAAAATACAACAAATTTTCTTTTGATTTAATAAAAGAATACTGTGGGAGGTCCATTAAAATACTCCATAGTACAGAACATCCAGAGGAAACATCTCCATCACGCTGGGGGCTGCTGCTTCAGTTTCTGCCTTGCTTTCAAACATTCTATCTTTCCTTCTCTCAGCGCCTTCAAAAGTTTATCTAAACAGGAATGAAAAGCAATTGGTCACTAACAGTTTATATATATTTAAAAAAAAAGTAATTTGTTAGGCAAGTTAGTAACTTTCTGTAGCATTTCTTGTTTAGCAAATATCTGAAATACTGAAGTTTCTCAGATGTATTGAAAATAACAGGTATAAAACTGGGGAAAGGTACGTATTGCTACGATGGGGGGGAGGGGGGGCAGAAATCCCACCTATGAATTTAGGGTTCTGAAAAGCAGTGTATCAAACTACATATCACAACTTGGGATTTTCCTTCCAGTGTGTGTCCGATGATGTTTCTCTGTGGCCCTGGGGAGGCAACATCCTTCCCGCAGCCCTCCCACTGCGCTCTGAGCTGCTCCACCCGGTAGGTTTGGAAATCAAAACGCCAAACTCATTTCACACTTCTTTTTTTTTTTTTCCCCTAAGCCTTTGACCGCCTGCGGCCATCACTGGCCGTTCCTTTCCGTCTGTGATGCTTTGCAGCTGCAGGGCCTCGCCGCTGGAGGTAGGTACACGTCGGACCGACCAACTCCCTTTGCGCTGAGCGCTTCTGGCTCTGTTAGCTAAGTCAGCGAAGGCCCGGGCTGCTGTGCAGGACTCCCAGCCTCGCGCTCAGCCCCGCCCGCACGCACACTGCTGCGCGTCGAAGTCTTCGCCGATGAGGGCGAGCAGCTCCAGCTCCTTGACGCGGATGCCCAGCTCGCAGATCTCGTCCTCCAGCCGCGACAGCTCGTCGGGCCGCCTCGCCGCGCTCTCCTCGGCCGCCGCGGGGCGGAAGAAGCGCAGCGGTTCGTAGGGGATGGCCGCCAGCCCCGCGGGCCAGCGGGGAACCCCGGCGGGAGGTGGCGGCTGCCCCGGCCCGCACGCGGCCGCCAAGGTCTTCCACGGGCCGCCGTCGGGCTCGGAGCGGTCGTGGAAATGGGGGAAGTAGAGCGGCCGCCGCGGAGGCTGCCCGCTCATGGCGCTGCCCGCTCGCCGACGGCGGTTGTGTCGGAAACGGCCGCGCTCGAGGCCGGCCATGCCTCGACCTTCCCCGCGGCATCGCGGCACCGCGCCCGGCTGCACGCGGTACGGCGCGACGATACAAAGGCCGGCCGTGCGCGGTCTGCCGTTCCCGGAGGAGCGAGGAGAAGCGCCGCAGGAGCTGCAGCGCGGTGTGAGGAGGTGATGGGAGCGCCGTGCAGACGCAGCAGCTCTAAGTGTCGCCTCTGGGGGGAATGTGCAGGAAAAGTCAATGAGCTGCCCTCATCTGCGGCTCGGAGTGGCTTTTGGCGCACGCAGCGCTTTGCTTGCACCGAATGTGCAAGGAGCTTCCACTTACCCATCCGCGTGTAACTTTCTGTTGATCCGTGGATGCAAAGCAATCAAACACCGCAAGGGACGCGTTGCTGTTGCATCTTAATTTGATCTTTGCTTCTGCTCCTGGTGAGTAAATATTGTCGTCTCCCTTTCGCTGATCAATTCCGTTTGTCACTGAGGTAATACTGGCATACTTGTTAATTAGTTAACAGGTGAAGTGGTTGGGTTTGGACTTCTGTTTTCTCGAAGCCTTTTCTATGGCCTTGGTAAGATTTTTAGAGTAACTGTTGTCTTCCTTTTGACTTGTCAAGCACACCTGCACCTCTTAGTAACTAGAGAAAAAAATAGGCAGAATATTATTACATAGTATTCAGTAAGGAAAACTGAAGCATTAAGGTATCAGTGCCTGAGGCTGTGGAGGTGGAAGAGATGAGCTGCTGGAAAACCAATGAGGTTCTCTTTACCTCGAAGTCCAGTTTTAAATTCGTAGCGTCTTCATTATAAAGGAGGTGCTGAGGAAAAGCATTTTCTTCCAAAAGAATTAAGAAAACAGAATTTAAGAGAATTCTCTCAGAGAACTGAGAAATAGAAGAATATTAGATCTTTGTGTTTGCTTTATGCCATAGCTTGCCTGACTGACGTATGTATTTTTTATTTCCTATGAGAGTGGTGAGGTGCTGGAACAGCTGCCCAGGGAGGCTGTGGGTGCCCCGTCCATCCCTGGAGGTGTTCAAGGCCAGGTTGGATGGGGCCCTGGGCAGCCTGGGCTGCTGTGAAATGTGGATGTTGGTGGCCCTGCGTGTGGCGGGGGGTTGGAGCTTCGTGATCCTTGAGGTCCTTTCCAACCCATTCTGTGATTCTATGGCTTGGTGCTGTGATGCTAATGGTCTTAGCCATTATTTGTTCGTTGGTAGTAGTGTGCTTCCAACTACCCTGGAGCATTCTAGAGATCCCCAATGTAATGTTTTGTTTTACTAGTGGTGCATGAGGACATCTGCCAAATGGCTGCTGCAACTTAAGAGTCCTTGTGCGGAAAGCAAGAGTAGTCTCTTGATTAACATTACATTTGTGTTATGTAGCATATATAGCAGGGGATTATGAGAGGTGTTAAGTGGATGTTCATTACCTGTATGTTGGGAAATGTTAGTCACTTATAATAACTAGCTGTGATAGGATGCTGAGATAGGTGTTGAGTCTGATCCCTTGAGATAATTCCAAGTTCCTGAAGATACAGGTCTTGATGAAAAGAGAGCCCTCTTTTGGAATGTAGAAAATGGAAACTGTTAGTGGAAAGAGGCAAAGTGAGAAAAGGTGTGGCACTAAAAAGTAACCAGAAGGTACCTGCGTTCGTGAAAGAGGAATACTGTTGGAAGTAGTGCAAGTAGTGCAAGTGCTATTGTAACTTCTGAAATTATGGATGCTTCTGTTTCCTTAAAATCATATGGATGGTGTGCAATCATAGTGATACATGGTTTTATATGCTAGACGCTGGAATCGTGGACCTGAAGATTCCTTCTCTATACAGAAAAAAATGAGCGTGAGCCGCTCATGCTTTGTCAGAGTCCCGCTGTCTTCAGGTGCCATCTGGTGGAGTACGATGGAAATGTTGCCTTAGGAGCGCCAGCAAATGTCTGCTGAGCACAGAAAAGGTTCCCACAAGAATCAGAAGTTAGAAATACAAAGATATGGTAAAGAAGATAACCGGGTGCATAAAGAACGTAGCAGGCACTTTAGATTCTAATGCACATCTTTAAACTGTGTGTTTCTGAGGTTGCCGGTTCTGCACTCTTAAAATACTCTCCTTCATGTAAAATATGATTACCTATAGTCTCTTTACCTCGAAACAAAATGTTTTCTTGATCGTGACATTTTGTCAAGTTAGGATGATGACATTCTGGAGTTATTACCTAAACTTTTTCAGAGAATTCTGCCCAGATATTTTGCATTTAATTTTTTGCTGTTGTACAGGTATCCTGGACTAGCACGTGGCTATTTATGTAAGCTCCAGCAGTATATGAAATAACAAAAAGGTTTTTATAAGGTTTGTAGTAGATTATTCAATAGTATATACATTGTCATTAAATGTCTTTGAGACTAAAGATGAGTTACAGCTGTGGTGGTCCTATGGGAAAAAGCGCTGTCATTTTGCTTGGCCAAAGAGTTCAGAAATGCATCATTTTCTGCATAGTCCTCAGAACTAAGGCCCTTTTCACGTGCTCACATAGGGCCTAAAGCATGGCTGTGTCGTAATGCAGGATTGCATTTTCGATGCTTTCTGCTGCAAGCGGATGAGACCATTGGGAAGAGGCACAGATGAGATAAGAGATACTTCTGCCTACCTGACAGGAAGGCTAGCTGTGCGTAATGGAAGGATTTCATGTCGTGAGAGATGAGAGAAACTCCTGTTCTCAAAGAAGATCTGTTTATTTGCTTTATTCATACTGGCTTGTTTGCTGGTCAGACGTCTGCCTTCAATTTTGGCACTAAAACTTTGTTTCCAGAACTGAGATCCTTTAGACTTGGGTTCTGAAAATGAAAGTGTCATGTAGACAGGAATCTTATGTAACTAAACTGACCGTAGGTGTTATGAAGGGGAGAGCTGTGAGACAGGAGTTTGTAAGGACTTGTATGCCAGCAATTGCATTACAGTTAGTTGTGCTGTACAGACTTGATCCAGTAGAGGGAGTAATACGCACGCTCTTGGTAACGTGTTGTAATTTGGTAAATTTAGCACATCTTTCGGTTCGTGTTGATATTTGAAGCCTCACAAGTGATGTGCTTATATATACATGTTCATTTTGGAGAAGCAGGTCTCTTGTTTATGTTACCCAGCAAGGATAGCAGCTGATAAAATTCCAGCCACTCCTACCCTACAGTAATTGAAACTGCCTTGGAAGCATCGTTTGAAATCCTTTTCTGTAGAGAGAAGTTAAGGATAGTCAGCTAAAGTAGCAGAGGGCCACTAAAATACTCTAGCAACAGCAGGTGGTGCAGTCTGCAGCCTCAGGGAGAATATTAACATTTGAAACAAATGGCAGGAATGGCAAACTATGCTGTAACCTGCTTGCATCACCATCCAATGTATGTGATCTGAGCAGGCGTTTTGTGTGTGCCTTCGTTTGTACTAGACTGATGAAACAGCACTGTGGAGGCTGCCTTCCTTTGGCTGCTGTAGTTGGAATTTGTTGCAAATGCACAGATTAAGTACTGACACTCGGAAGCACCAAGTGTATGTGTGTGTGACTGTGTGTGCTGGAAGAATGTGTCAAAGCTACAGCTTTTCCATTTCTGCAGTGGATTTTGTACCACGTTTAAAGAAAGCGGATTTCTGCCACTGTGAGACAACATGAAAAATTGCATGTCAAGAAGTCAGATTTAATATCTGATGTACTATTTTAAGCATACACTGATACATCACACTTCTGCTCAGTTTAAACTAATCTTGGTCTTTCAGCATGGATGTTGTACCATCTCGTGTTGATGACAGTTTCCAATAATTCACGATCAACCTGTTAGTTTTTTCCTGAACTCTGCTGTGTTCTTCCTTCTGCATTAACCTATTCAGTTTTCCAGATGCTTCTGTCTGTACTGTTGTTGCATTCAGTTATCTTTCTATATAATATCATTAACGTGCTGTCTGTTAATGGTTCTTCTCATCACTTTGTCTTCCCTCAATCGGTTCAGAGTACCACTGATGAAATTGTTCTCCTTTCTCTTTGTTTCTGGTACATTTATCCCACGATCATTCTCCCTCTCGTCTGCATCAGACCTTTTCCTTTCAAGGCTTTCCACAATTTAGTAATGTCCTTTTTAGATATCTTACGATGTTGCTGTTCCTTTCTGGTTTAATAATGTACTTTATACTATCAGTATTCCCAGCTCTTATTTCCCATCGCTCAGATTCTCCATCAGAAATTACTGGCTTTTCAGCTGTTTTTTCCTCTTGCTAAGAGAGAACCTAAAAATCCACATGGGAGCTGCTGTGATGCACATCAGAGCCACGTATTTGGAAGTAGTGAGCTGTGACTCTTCTGCTCCCTTTGCTCTTATCTCTTCCCTGTGGATGTTGTCTGTCACATTCATGCCATTTGTCATGCTGCTTCCCAATGAGAAGAAGAGCTGTCCCACATCTTGAACTATTGTACTCTATCTAATTTGTCACTTGTTCCTCTTTCTTTATGTCTACAGTCCCTTCCAGAAGACCTTCTTTCCTGTGTTTGACAAGCTGTCAGACCCAATTCTGATCAGGAATGTGGGCTTCAACTACAGTATGTTAGTATAAATTGTAGTCATTTGAATAAATTAGTCTATATTTCTTGCCATTAATAAAATATAATGATATTTGCTGGCTTCATACTGTTTCCAGCCTGCAATCTGTAGGACTCATTAGTGGGACTGTTTTCAGAAGCATGCCGCTTCCTTCACTGCTGAACCTTCCTGTTCTGCTGGATGTATCTCGTTACAGCACAAACCAACGTGCAGAGGGCTACTTATAAAGGCTCAAAGCTCTGTGCCAGCAAACTTAAAATGAACAGCGAGCAGTTAATCAACAATTACACAACTTGAAAGAAGTGCTAATTGGAAAAGTTTTTAAGGAATGAGTTTACAACTGAAATAGAAAATAAGACTTGATGCCTGAAATAGTATTTTGGACTGGTGAGCAGAAATGCAAAAAGTATAAGAAAAAGAGAAAAAAGAAAGAAGAAAAGCTGTGTAAGAAACAAATTTTTAATTTTCTCCTCG